CGGCCGCAGCCTGGCCAGACACCGAACCCCCCTGCAGCTCAGAGACCCCGGCCAAGGCCTTCACGGGGCCGTCGCTGCCAGGTCCAATGTGCTGCCCCAGCCCACCCGTCCCAGGGACGACAACGCCCCGGGAACCCCCCCGCCGGCTGCCTGGGAGCCGCGCCGCTGCGTCCCGCCGCCCTGACCTCGCTCGATATCCTTGTAGAGCTGGTCTATGAAGGCGTCTAGCTCCTCTCGCTCGCGTAGGGGAAGCTCGAGGGCATCGCAGGCGTGGACCCACTGGCTCAGGCAGCTGGAGGAAACCAGACAGAACACGGCCATGTTGCCAAAGGGCGCTGGATCCGGGCGGGAGGGGGAGCGCGCCGCCCAGACCCCCGCGCGCAGGACAGCCGGGATCACGTCCCGTGAGCGAGCCAGACTCCCCGTCTTCAGCGCAGGACGCGCCCGAGGGGGCAGGACTCCCTGGAGCTCCCCAGGGCTCAGTTATCCAAGGGCCCCAACAGGCCACGCCCCGATGCAGACCCAGCCCTGAGCTGGAGAGGCTCTGGAGTCAGGGAGCTCCTGTCCTAGCATTTCCGGAAGCTCAGCAGCACGTACCCGAGGTTTTCTAGGCTCTCGAGATACGCAGGGTGGCTCCCAGCGGCCGGGTTGAGTCGTGTGCACGCTGAGGGGAGCCCAGAGCCCTCGCGAGCTCCCATGGGACTCTCGTCCCGCCCGTGCCGACTTCTCGCCGCGCAGGGCGAAGCCCTGGGTTACCTTGTGCCGATGCCTTGGCCGTTGGTCCCCACCAGGGCGAAGAGCGAGCGGAACCCTTCTGGAGTGAACCACTGCAGGGAGAGCGAGGAGCAAGAGGATCCGTTTACCGGGCAGGACTGCAGGGCGAGCCGCCCTCTCCGCGGCTCCCACATGCTCTGGCTCAGGGAGTCCCACCCCTTTGGATACCAGGGACCGGCCCGCTGCCTTCCTCGCCCACAGGAGAGCCCAGGGACCGGCCCGCTGCCTTCCTCGCCCTCAGGAGAGCCCAGGGACCGGCCCGCTGCCTTCCTCGCCCTCAGGAGAGCCCAGGGACCGGCCCGCTGCCTTCCTCGCCCTCAGGAGAGCCCAGGGACCGGCCCGCTGCCTTCCTCGCCCTCAGGAGAGCCCAGGGACCGGCCCGCTGCCTTCCTCGCCCTCAGGAGAGCCCAGGGACCGGCCCGCTGCCTTCCTCGCCCTCAGGAGAGCCCAGGGACCGGCCCGCTGCCTTCCTCGCCCTCAGGAGAGCCCAGGGACCGCCCCGCCGCCTTGCT